ACTTGTTGGGTGAGTGAGCACGAAGCGGACAGCAGGCCCAGCCTCGGGGGGAAGAGCGTGCGCTTGTGGTACACAGGCTTTTCCTTTTTTTCTCTCGTTTCTCTCTCTCTCTCTCCTTTCTTGCTCTTCTCCTTTCTCTCCGTGTCTTCCTTTCTCTCCCTTTCCTCCCCCTCCGTTTCCTCTTTCGTTTATGTCTTTACGTGAACCTCCGAGTTGCCCAGTTGGTGCTGTGGCATCGTGCACACACACAGCCGGCTTCTCCGCGTGGAAGCCTTAGACGCGCGCTCGTGTGGATCCCTGCAGTCTGCAGTGGAGGGAGTGGGGTCGGGAGAACTGGGCGTCTGCTTCTTGGAGAAAGGATATACAATCTTTTTCGATCTTAGTGCTTTTATTCCAGCAGAATACACATAAGACTGACCAGTATAACCACGTGTGAGAACCCAGCTCTGCAGCCTCGGTGTCTTCGTTGCCGTGCAGCTCACCACCGTCCGCGGCAGTGCTCCATCTTCCCCCGTGAAACGGGGCCCGTTCAACACTCATAGGGACCTGGCGGCACCATGCGGCTTCCTGTCTCCGAGGTTTGCCTGTTTAGGGAGCTCATATGAGAGGGGCCATAAAATCTTTGCCTTTTATGTCTGGCCCATTTCATTTCACATGGAGTCTTCCAGGTTCTTCCATGCTGTGGCTTGCTCAGGATCTCTGCCTCTTTTTTTTTTCTTTTTCTTTTTTGGGACGGAGTCTCGCTCTGCTGCCCAAGCTGGAGTGCAGTGGCCGGATCTCGGCTCACTTCAGCCTCCACCTCCCGGGTTCAAGCAATTCTCCTGCCTCAGCCTCCCGAGTAGCTGGGACTACAGGTGTGCACCACCACGCCCGGCTAATTTTCGTATTTTTAGTAGAGACGGGGTTTTACCATATTGGCCAGGCTGGTCTTGAACTCCTGACCTTGTGATCTGCCTGCCTGGGCCTCCAAAAGTGCAGGATCTCTGCCTTCTAAGGCTGAGGACCATCCTGCCGTGCACACCGACTGCGTTTCCTTTCCGCACTGGCTGGGCTGCTGGCGGATGCGGCCGTCTCTGCCTCTTGGCTGTGGAGGAGAGCACTGCTGGGAACACGGCGTCCAGGATTTCCTCAGCCGTTACTTTGCATTCTTTGGGGTAAACATCTAGAGGCAGAATGGAGAGATCAGAGTTCTAGGCTACCATACGGTCTCCAGGGTGAATTTTTTACTTTGATTTTTTTTCATCCTATCTTATGGTTCTGATCAATTTGGATATTTGACAAGCTGCCCTCCGAAAAGGTGGTACCAGTTTCCCGTCCCTTCCTCTGCCTGTTCTGCACTCTGGGACCAGCGCGGGGAGCACCAGCCTTGAGTGTTCCAGGCTGCTGTGGAGATGGTCAGGAGCACCCGGGCTTCTGCCGCGCCGTGGAAAGGCCCCACCGTCCTGTTCACTGTGGCGCGTGTCCCTGCCCGTGTGTCTCGAGCTGGCAGCCGATTCCTTACTGATGTGTAGAAGTTAGGAAATGCGCTTTCTTCGTGTGCTGCAAATACTTCTTTCCTCAGTTTACCATGTGTATTAAGATACTTTGTTTAGTTGCTTTTAATTTCTGTATGGCCAGTTTTACCAGCCTTTTCTCCTGTGGTTTCTTGCTTTTGCGTTGGGCATGGAAAGGGTTCCCCTGTGGCAGACACAGCCAAGGGAGATGCGTGGGGGGTCCCCGTGGCCCAGCCTGAAAGGAGGCGTGGAAGTCCACAGGGATGCGCTGGAGCCTGGGGTCCCGCCCCCACCTCGGGAGCAGCATCCTCTCCACTCCCTTCCTCCCTCCACAGGGCTGGGGAGTCTGCCCTGAAGCAGTGGCCTGCGGGCAGGGGCGTGGGTGTGCTGGGAGGGCGAGGCTGGGGCTGGACAGGGTGTGACCATCTGCAAACCACTGAGGAACAAGAAGTTCTAAATGAAAGATCAGAAAACACTTTCTGCATTTTGGGAGGAGGGAAGCTTCAATTTTATAAGCTAAATCCTTATTTATCTAAGTAATACAGCATCTCGACCCAGAGTGGCTGCAGCCTCCCTGCCTCTCCCAAGCAGGGGAACTGCTAGAGGCTTCTCAGAGCACACAGATCCCGAACGAGCCCTGCTCCAGATGCCGAAGCTGGAGAGAGGCAGAGGGCTGGGGAGCTTATCTGTAACAGTTCTACTCCCGACACCATCTTTTCCCCGTTGATGGCAACGTCTTTATCTTATACGAAATTCTGTACATGTGCACGTGATTTACTCGGCGGGAGATGATGTCTGAAACCTAGGCAGTGAGCAGCGGGGAGTGACAGGGCCGGCTTCCTGGCTCCCCAACGGGCTGGATGTGGAGGTGGGAGAAGGGGAGGGGTCAAGAGTGGCTTCAGAACTCGCCCTGAGTCCCCGGCAGGATGGAGTGGCCATCGGCAACATGGGGAGCCGGTGGGTGTGTGACGTGGTGGGGCAGGTGGGCCCGCCTGGGATGTGGTAAGCAGAGAGGTCCTCACACCACCAGTGGGGATGCCCAGCAGGCATTGGGCTCTCCGGGCTGGCGGTCCAGTGGCAGGTGTGGCCTCTCTGCCCAGAGATGCCACGTGAAGCCGTGGGCAGGACAGTCCAGCCTCTGGGTGGAGTCCGGGGGCGCCCACCAGGAGGGGGACAGGAGGAGGAACATGGGAGCTGGGAGGAGGTCGGCCCAGGAGGCCTGAGAGCTGGCCACTGGCTGCAGCCGTGGGGGCCCTTTCAGCCCCACCCACGTTTCCCTTCACAAGAAGCTCACACCGATTGTGTCAGTGCGCGGCACGCTTCATGTTGCTTCACTTTCAGAGCTGGTCTGGCTGTTCACGAGTGTTTACTGTCCATATGAACGTTGGAATCAGGTTGTCTATTCTCTAATTCTGTGTCTACAACCGTCAGTGTCTGTGTCCAGGATGTCGTTCCAGAGGGAGCAGCAGCAGGTACCGCAGTGCCCTCGGTTGGAAGGGGCCTGGGCAATGGAGGAAGTTTTGTCCCCAGTGCTGGAAGGGCTGCATGGGCACCTAGTGGTGGAGGCCAGGATGCTGCCAACACCCTGCAGTGCACAGGACACCCCACAGCAGGGAGGCATCTGGTCCCAAGTGTTCATGGTGCTGTATTTGAGAAACCCAGATTTAGGCGCCTACAAAACATCTTTCTGAAAAGGCTCGCCTCTGCCTGTTCTGCTGCTGGCTGCTGGGCTGTTTCATGGGACACGACCTTCTAAAATGCTCTTGCACAGGCTGCAGTATACATGCTGTATGCAACTGGAGACGTTTTTATTGTCTCCGTCTGCCCAGTGTCCGGCCCCTTCTTGTAGTTGGATGATGCCTTTGGTGGTATCCAAGGTACCCAAGAACGTTACAGAAGCTGAAGCCAGATGCTTTCCCAGCATCCCTGGCAGGCCTTTGACCCAGGCTGCTTCATCTGCTGCACCTGGGCGGGAGCGTGGAAAGGAGTGGGCACGAGGGCCTTTCTCCTGGCTGGAGTGGGGTCCGGAAGGGCTGGGCAGCAGGACTGGCCTTGCCAGAGCATCTGAAGCCAGGCTGGGACTGCTGCTGGCTGCTCACACCAGGCCTCGTCGGCCCAACATCTTTTTCATCAGTTCCCTTTACTTTCAGCATTCAGTGGATGTTTCTGTTGCTTTCAACCAAAAGTCCTGGGTGTACAAACTCCCTGCCGAGAACAGCAAGTGCAGTAAGACACCATGACAGGAGCGGGAGCTCTGTTACCAGTTTGGGCTTGAGGGGTGTGATTTGGACCCATGGTATAAAAAAATTGTGGAACTGGATTTTAGGAGGAGGCTTCAAGACACACTATATGCTTACTGTACGTTAATTTTCATGTTTTGGTTGTAAAATGGCTTAGTGATGATTAATGACTGACTTAGGATTTTTGGACAAAATCTATGGACTTCCCAACGTCTGGCAGAGGGAAGAACTTTAGCACCAGACCCCCGGGGCTGGGGGAGGTGGTCCTGGGCTGGAAAGAAAGGAGGAAAAAGGTGAGGGAGAAGCTTGGAAAGCAAAACAATTTTGGATTCTTTGTTGAATAAGGAGAGCATTCCTCCCATTTGCTGCCACCGTGCAAATCCTCCAGCACATCCGCCGTCCTCTGGGCAGCGTACGGCCAGGCTCGGTGTTGACTTTCCTGTGTTTCGGGTGGATTCACTCTGCCAGGCTCACCAAGGTCCCTCCTTCTACAGCTTCCCTGTCAAGGCCCTGTTCAAAACTTCTCCACTTCAACAGAAAACTCGGCTTCCTCCCATCCCCTGGACTAGCCCCATTTCCATCCCAGCACCTTCCCACCAGTTAAGACACCGGGCAGGACAGGGTGAAGGACGAACCACAAACCCCGCCAACCATGGCTGCTCCAGTGAGAGGCTCCTCAGGGGTGTCCGTAGCATTTCCTGTCGGCTCCCTCAGGCGCCCTCCTGACCCCAGGAGGGGCCCCCGTGTCCCACGTCCGGAAGCACAGGGAGTGCCGGAAACCCCACTGAAGCAGGGGTCCTGGGGGTGGCCACAGCGCTGCTTGCCTTGGCCGCGTCACTTCTGCATCCCAGAGGGACCTGTGGGTCTGGAGGGCAAGGGGATAGCAGCCTGTGAACCAACAGACTGAGCAAGAGTGGGTGGGCTATGCTGGTGGGACGAGGCCTTCAGCTTCAGGGATCAGGGAAGGGACAGGACAATTCAAGTGAGGCTTATGGTCAAGCCTGGCTTAGAGAAAAAACATGAAGCGCATGTAACCTGATTTTAGCAGGCCCTGCCGGATGCCTACCCCCGTCCTCCCCTGTCCTCCGTGGTGACAGGCCCCTTAGTTTTTAGGTATTTGGTAGCAAGTTTCCAGGCCAGAGGCTAAGCATCCTTGGTCTTTTCCGGGCACATGTAGGTTTTGCGAGGCCTGAAGCTTCCACTGTTTGGGGCCATCGGAGGAGCTTTTACCTGAGAGAAAGATTGTTAATATTTAATGGACACAACGTTAGGTGCAAATTGAAGTTTTATTTAGAATGAAAAAATAGACGACAAGTTACAGATTTTAAAGAGCTTACGAATTCCACAGATGTCGTGGAGTCCAGGTGAGTAACAGCCGGGTTGGAGGGGTGCGCTCCGCCTCATCTGTATTTTTGGCTCTCTCTGAGGGTAGTGGTTTTACCAACATGCTTCATCAAAAACTATCAGGGAGAGTCTAGAAAAGGTCAGGGTAAGATCAGATTCTGGGCCCTGTGGCACCTCTGCAGACCTCGATCAGTTCCTTCCACGGTGGCTCCAGGCCTTGGCATCCCTGCCTCCCCACGGCTGCCCCTGTGCCCAGGCCCCGCCAGCGATGTCAAGGCCCCCTCGGCCGCACCACACCCCTGCCCAGCATCTCGGACGCCGTTCCTTCCCGGTGGCACCTGCCCAGACTTTGCCGAAAATCGAAGGCAACAGGAGGAGGAGGTGGGCTTAGGAGCGAAGCCGCGGCCCTCACCTGCCCACACCTGCCCAGCTGCCACCTGCCCCAGAGGTGGAGGGACCAGCCGAGGGGTGGCTCCCCTGGCTCCCCACCTTTGAGCGTGTCTCAGGCCGGGAAAGGGCAAAGGGCCACATGAAGCCAGCAGGCACTTCGGTGCCACATCCCCAGAGGGACGGTCCTATCCGGGAACCCCTGGCTGCCCGGAAAGCCGCTTCCACCGCGGACTCACCACGAGAGGACTCGGCAGCTGTGAAGGAACTGGGAGATTCTACAGACAGGCCGAGGTTAGGGCCTCCAGGCCAGGAAGCCTTCCAGACGCCTAGCTTCACCAGTCCCCGGTGGAGAAGACGGAAGGGGCATGGTCAGAGGCCTGGCCGGGGAGGAGGGAAGAGCCAGCCCCGTGAACAGGACCACAGGACAGGGTGAGGACTGTCCCAGAATCCCCTCGACGACAGAAGGCCTGGTCCCAGTGACCCTCCCTCTAGGGGCTCCCTGCTGCCACCGTGTCCACAGTGGAGTCAGAGCTTCCACGGCCAGCCACAAGTTCTGGCTCAAAGTCAGAACAGGAGAGAGGCCCTCAACTCCAGTGAAGCACGGCAGCTCCTTTTTCAACCCCGACACCTCTGACGAAGTCTGTTTTGTATGAGGGTGAGGATCATGATGGCACAGAGCGTGTTCCATGAAAGCAATGATCACGATGGCAGCTGCCACCAAAATATTTTACCAGCACACCCTTCTGACTGCAGCATTTCTCAGAAGAAAAGCTCAGGTGAAAAGTTCTTGGAATTTTCCAGATCTTCAGGTGGCTCTATTAGCATTGCCACATACCGAGAAAAGGAATTTCCCTAAAGGTTAACCTCTAATCCAGCGAAACTTTGCTCATGCCTCAAAACGGAGCCAAGACTCAGACTAACACACGTATATCAAAATGGACAGAAGTCTTGACTCACTTGACAAACAGAATAGGCACAAAAGAATGTACAATCAATACAATTCCAAAATATCTCTGAAAGGAAAAAGCATCCTCTACTGACATGAAATAAACGTTAACCTTGAGATTACACCAACAATGCCTTTTTTTTTTAAGACAGGGTCTCACTCTGTTGCCCAGGCTGGAGTGCAATGGCATCATCTCAGCTCACTACAACTCCTGCCTCCCGGGTTCAAGGGATCCTCATGCCTCAGCCTCCCGAATAGCTGGGATTATAGGCGCCCACCACTGCACCCCAATAATTTTTGTATTTTTAGTAGAGATGGAGTTTCACCATGTTGGCCAGGCCAGTCTGGAGTGCCTGGGCTGAAGTAATCCCCCTGCCTCAGCCTCCCAAAGTGCTAGGATCACAGGTGTGAGCCACTGCGCCCAGCCAGGTCAATTCTTTATCAGGAATTTCCAATTCCCATCTCTGTTTAACAAGAGAACTAACTGATATGAATCCTGCCTTTGAATGTTTCTGGAACACGTCCTCCACCTTCACCTGCCGGCCCCTCATGTCCCAGGAGCTCTTTGGTGGCAGAGTCGGCGCTTAGCAAATAGAGTGGAAAGCGCGTGCAGGAGACGCAGGCTTGGGTGTGCTCTGTCTGCTCCTGTGGTCTATCGGGCAGGTCCAGGGAGACACAAGGGAAGCCTGAGGGACTCTGACTCCCCGTGGAGATTTCTCTGTACAGCACGACAGCGTGGCTGTATCCCAGATCCCTGACTCCTGAAGAGAGTCTAAAAAGAGCTGAGTTCTCTCTCAATTCTTCAGTGGTTCATCACCAAATTCTTGGTTCTAAGGCTTTGAATCTTTAAATAATAGATGTGCATCTAGACTTGGGTAAAAACTAGAAACCTGTTCTCCCACCCAAGCCTTTGCTTTAGTAATTCTCCAGCTGATGGTCTGGCCGGGCGGGCATCAGGAGGGCTGAAAGCTCACTCAGGTCATTGGTGAACATGTCCGACTGAGTCTGGGCTGAGGGACCTGGCTCTACGTTTTGTAAAATAGATACTAGCAGATCTTCCCAAGACGTGTGTGGCTCATTCTCACGGCCCAAAGAGGGCACTTACTCCACAAATGCGCGGCCACAGGTCATCATCTGTCCTGTGACCCTGGCGAGCCTGATCCCTCACGCCGGGCGCCCACACGGCCTGCGTGCCTTCTAGACTTGAGTTCGCAGCTCTTTAAGGAGCTCTCGGGCCAGTTTTCCTGATCTAGGGCTTTCAATGCCAAGACGATCCCATCTGTACAAGGTCTGGTCAAGAAAGCCAATGATCTCGTGAGTTATCTCAGCAGTGTGCGCCATCTGCAATCGGGACAGAAGAGAAGGCAAATTAAAACACTTTCCAGATTTGTCCCTTTGTCCAGGGACGGACCATAACCACCCAGTCCCTGAAAGACGCCCCATGCAGCATTTCCATCAGTTCCAAAGCACAGCACGGGGAGCTCGTTTTCAAGGTGATTGGCACAGCAAGTCTGTCTCCACGGCTGGCTGCACAGTGCACGGTGCCGCTTCCTAACGAGCCTCCTCGCATTGAGCTCAGCTGCCAACAGCATTAGACTCATAAAGGCCACAGACAAGAGCTGCAATCAGAAGTGCTTCTCAGAATGCCAATCACAAGTTGTGGGATGGTGGCTGCGGGGAACAAAGGCACATGAGCAATGCTGTGGCTTGACTTTCTGCAAAAGGCTCACACAAATATGAGAGTTGGAAGATGCCACCTGTTTTCACACAAACAGCCCAGGAGTCTGGCATCGCTGGGCTATAACCAGACCTACTTGCTTTTTAATAGGCCTCTAAGGTTTTAACACCTGATTCTTGCAGGAGAGCAGGAGACACAGCCTCAAGGCATTCGTACTTGTTGGTGCCTGTAAGTATTTTCCTAAAAACTTCAGTTAAGAAAAAAGGGAAGGGTGAGAATCTTACAATTCAGCTGTCTGGGGAATTTATGGTTTTTTAAGCACAAGCAGTATTAAGAAGGCTTAAGTTTTTGAGAGTAACCAATACATTCATTTAGTGTGTGTCAGTTTGTACAGAACCTGCAAATGTTTAATTAGCCAGAGCAGCCCAAGGTCAGCTTCCTCTGGAAGGGTTGGGACGTTCTGGGAGGGTGAACAACTGCCTTGGTTTTCCCAGCACTAGTCTGGTTTTACTGCCTCAGGTCTGATAGCCCAGGACACCCTTCAGAACTGGGCTTCCACCTCCTGACCACCAGTAAAGGGAGCCTTGTCACGTGCACACTGTGTGAACGGCAGCGTGGGGACGCAGAGCTGAGAGTAAACGACGTGGGGCAGACGGTGACGTTTGCTCTCCTCAGCCCCCACTGGTAGCACCCAGGGCCTGCAGCCAGCCCGCCAGGGCCAGTGCAGCCAGCACGGGGGTTCCAGCTGTGGCCCTGGTGCGTGCGTGTCCCTGGGTGTCTGTATTGCCATCACTTGGTTTTTACTCAGAAATGACAGGCACATGATGCTGATGGCCTTCGGCAGATGCAGCCCGTCCTTCATCAAGGACACACTGTGCGCCTGCTGCTGACCCCTTTCAGAGTTAACCACCACCCAGACCCTGAGTGGGAGGACGGCCCATGGTGATGGACTCGGCCACATCTGAAGAAAGACCGAGTTGTCATTACAAATCCAACCTTGCATCTTCCTTACACGCCAGCACTCCTGGGTGAGCCCCTCCCAGTTCTCTAGTCACATGCGAAAATTCGCAGCCCTGCAGCCACCTGGAGAACCTGCCTCCCCGCTGGCCTTGGCTGGTGCACCAAGAGTGGGTTCAGTTCATGTTGAGTTTAACGACTACAGAATTGAACTCTGCATCTCGGAGCCTTGCTAACTTCTGCTGCTGTTGCTGTGGCCGAGCGGCAGGAGGCAGGAGAGGGAGAAGCGGGAATCCAGGCCAGGACAGGAGGTGGAGCCCTGGGGCTGGACTCCACGCGGTCCTCTGCTCTATGCTGGCCTCCTGCAGGGATAGGTGAGGGAGCGAGTGGACGGCTGGGGCAAGCCAGAGGAGTGCCCGGCGAGAGGCCAAGAGCCAGAGAGGCAGGAGAAGCGCAGGGCCACTGGGCAGGGCCTCGTGGATGGAGTTCTGGGCAAAATCGGAGGGACAAGGTCAGAGAACATTCCGGGACAGCCAGGGAGCGGACCTCCAGGTGCCTGGAGAAGAGCCCACTGTGCAGCACTCACAGCAGAGGCCACGCAGGAGGCAGGCTGTGGGCAGATGAAGCTGCAGGACCTGTGCGTCCTTTAGGTCAGATGGAGCCATTTGTTCGAGCTGTCTCCAAGAGGGCGCGAGGGCTTTTAAGAGAGACGGCGGCCTTTGCCTCAGGCTGCCTCATCCTGCCCTGAGCTGGCACTGCTCTCCAAATCTGGATGCCAAGACAGAGGGCAGAGCCTGGGACCAGCTGGGAGGTGGCTGCGCTTGGGCTAGGTCCTGAGGGTAGAGAGACCCAAGCTGCAGGAGGGAAAGGCCGTCCCACCAAAGCCACCATCTGGCCACCACCTGCTCGTGGGCCAAGCAGACTTGGCCCTTTCCAAGGTGCTGTCGGCAGAGGAACTGATAGAGGCCAGCAGAGGCGGGGGCGGTGGGAGGGACTGTTCCCTGGAGACCCTCCCTGCCAGCGGCCACCACAGCGAAGGCTTCTCATTAGGAAGACTGATGTGTTAATAAAGACCGGTTTTAAAACGTCCGAAAGAATAGCACGCGGGAGGCGCTTTCACCACGGCGGGCGCCCAGATGGCCAGCACCCACCGGACAGAGCCAGTGCACGAGCGCCACACTGGCGTCTGCTCCGGGAATGACTGCTGTGCGTGTCTTCTCTGCAGCGGAACTGACGTGGGGGGTGTGATGGCCCGGCACTGGGGCCCTCCGCGCTCCTGTGGGTTCCCGTGTGGATCAGCCGGCAGGACTGAACCACTGTCAGGATGGGCTGCCCAGCACAGGGCGCAGGCCGAGCCTCACAGCAGCCAGCTGCTTACTCCCAGCAGTGTCTCTGGGGCCAGTCTTGAGGGCGATCTGCTTTGAACGTGGACTGAAAGTTTCCTCAGAATAGATGGAAACGTGGTGTCAGGCTAACTGAAGCAGAGACGTGGGTGTCTTTGGGGTGCTCTCTCTGGGTGATTTTCTCTCACCCTGTGGGCAGGGCTGGAGCCACCCAACTCCCATGCTAACCCCCGCTGCCAGGCCCAGGCCATGGGCAGCTTCTCCACTCACACGGGCCACAGGGTGGGGGGAGGAAGTGCCTGAGCCGGAACCGTCCTTGCCACAGGGCAGGGCTGACCATCTCCCACTGCCCCTCCCCCAGTCCCCCATAAGCACCTTCCCACTGTTTCTGCGAGTTCCACTCTTTAGATCCCACCCACAGCTGAGGGCGCCATTTGTCTCTTGCGTCTACCTTATTTCGCTCAGCATAAAGCCCGTTAGGTTGGGCTGCATTGTCGCAGGTGTGCATTTTATAAGAGTACACACGAGATTCTCGAAAGCATTCTCACTGCTGGGCCAGGCCCGAAGAGGTGGCACCTGGCATATGGCAGCCAGTCGTCTTCAGCCTTGAGCTGCCTCAGGCTCTCGGATCCGTCTCAGCTGAGACATCAGAACCTGGGAGGCCCAGCCTGGGCCTGCTCCACAGGACTGTCCTACCAGGATAGAGACAAACTCCTGGCCCTGGTTCTTGGCAGGTAGGTCATTTGTTACGGGGACTTTCTGCACCTGGACACTCACATTCCAGTCGGGCCCGGCCTGGACGGGAGCAGGAGAGGCCTCTGGGGACTGGTAATATTCCTCTCTTGAGTTGGTTGCTGGCTGCACAGGTGTTGGTTTGTGAAATTCATCAAGCTGTGTATCTTCTGCATGTATATGTCAACAAAAGTACAAATAAAAAATAAAACTCCCAGAGCCAGCATGCTGGTGCTTTTTCTGAGATGAGTATGTTTTTAAATTGTGGTAAAATATACGTAAAATGTTCTATTTTACCCACTTTTGTAATTTGGTGGCATGCAGTTGTTGACAGTGTCGCATGGCCATCAGCACCGGCCGTCTCCGCCCCTTTCCATCATCCCCACACTGACTCCCCACCCTCCGCCCTGGGGAACTCTGTGGTACTTCCTCTTCCTGGACTTGATTCTTCCAGGTACCTCACCTAAGTGGACTCATGCAATATCCTCGTCTCTGGCTTATTTCAATAGCACAGTGTCTTCAAGGTTCCTCCAGGTTGCAGCACTGTCAGACGCTCCATCTTCAGGCCAAAGAGTACTCTACTGTGGGCACAGACCGCACGGTGCACTGCTTGTCTACGGGCATTTGGGCCATCTCTGCCTGCTGGCTGCTGATAGTGCCGCCCTGAGCACAGGGCCAGAGGGCCGTCCAGCCCCTGCTTTCGGCTCTTGGGTGTAGATCTAGGAGAACCACCTAGATCTATGGTAATTCTGAGTTTGGCTGTTTGAGGAGCCGCGCCATTCTTCTCCACAGCAGCTGCACGATGTTAACGTCCCCACCCGAAGCATGTGAGTATTCTGGTTCCTGTGCACCCTCAGGGGCGTCTCTTTTCTCTCCTTGCTGACAGCCATCCCGATGCATCTGGCTGCACTTCGCCTTCCCTGACCACTCGTGCCCTTTCTGTGAGCATCTTCTCACGTGCCTACTGGCCACTGGTGCGTCTTCTTTGGACAAGTGTCTGTTCAAGTCCTTCGCCCATTTTCGAACCAGATTACCTTTTTGTTGTTGAGTCACAAGAATTATTTATGTATTCTGAGTACTAAACTCCAATCACATATATTCTTTCCAAATATTTTTCTCCCATTCTGTGAACTGTTTGTACTTTCTTGATAGTATCCTTTGATGCACAAAAGCTTTTAATTTTCATCAAGTCCAATTTATCCTTTTTTTCATTGCTGTGTCTTCGGTATCACATCCAAGAAATCACTGCCAAATCTAACGTCACGAAGAGTGCTCACCTTTGACTTGGACCATTCTTTACTCCTTAAGTCAAGTGAGCTTCAGGAAGGATTTCTTTATAATAAACCATTTTTTAAAAATTAACACCATTCTTTGCACTGTTGCAGTGAATAGCATTGTGGTTGCTTTGTGAACACATTCTCATTGTGGCCGTATTTCTTTCCATGAGGAGGAGGAGAGCAGCACACTGCGATGGAAAGAAATATACACAGGGGGACAGGAGACCTGGTTTCTACTGCGGGCTCTGGCAGCAAGCCGTGGGCCCAGGAGATGGCATCTCCCTTCTCTGGGCCTCTGTTTTCTCGTCTGTGACACAAAGGTGCTGGAGGGGGCAGGCTCTGGGGCCATCCCAGCTGTCAACCTCCTTGACCATCTATCTGTGTTGGGCAGCCTGGTACACACACACTGCAGAGGCCACACCCTCGGACAGGGAACCCACCTCTCACCTGCAGCAGAAATGAGTACTAGGATGCTGGACCCCAGGGAGACTTACCAGGGTGATGACATCCCGGGCGATCGTGTGGCATCCAGGAGCCCAGAGCATGAAGTTGAGGAGAAGGTGCCTGATCAGCTGTTGTGCAGGAGCTCTGGGGTCTGTTTCTGTGCCCTGTCCTGCTGCTGTCTGCAGGTCCCGGGCTGAGAGGCTGCTGCTTCTGGACATCGCCAGGAGGTGGCCTAGCACGGCCTTCACCTGGACCTGGGCAGTAGCATTGCACAGGGGAGAGGTTAGGAAGAGGCAGGACAGACATGCTTCTAGGATTTATTTATTTGCTTTGAAGCAACCCCCAGAAAGGGGCAAGGACAGGCCCCCGAGAGAGGTCGCTTCGCAGCGGCCGAGTTTACACTCGATGCCACACAAACCCAAAGGGGCAGAATGGACATTTCTTGCCTTTCTTTCGTCTTGTTCACCAAGCAGTCAGGGCACCGTGCCAGGAACTGACCTTTTTTTGTATAAAAGGAAACAGAGAAAAGTCCTCAACGGAATGTAGTCAGATTTTTATATTGTGGGGAAAAAGAACAAAAGCCTCCTTGAAGACTCGCCTATCACAGCCACAAATCAATTAAAGCCCCATGCAGTGAGACCTCCGCCGAGCCAGCGTTCCCATACGGATGCAGGCTTGCTTTGCTTCTGGCTATACTGGGGATCCGGGTGGGGGGCCGGGGGGGCACACACACAGGCACGGCCATACACGTGCATGCACACGCAAGAACAGCCATACACGTGCATGCACACACAAGAACGGCCATACACATGCATGCACACACAGGCACGGCCATACACATGCATGCACACACAAGAATGCATTTGTTTTTAGACGCTGGAACAATCTGTTCGTACGTGTTTAATGCTCAAGCAGAGGTCACAAGTCTGTGGAACCCACATAATAATGGTAATTGTAAGTCTGCAGGTTGTTTCTGCATAAAAAAAACTTATTCCATGCTGAGATGTTTCTGCTTGCCACAAGAATGGTACACCCAGTCGTGACTTGGAAAACAAAGCAAAAACTGAAAGCCCAGAGCTCCAAATGCCACATGGAACTCATGAACAGCTATGTTCCATCACTTCTGAAAGAATACTTAGGCCTATTCTGAGAATTCCCATGACCGATTTTATGGATTTTGTGTGAGGCGTTTTTTTTTCCTGGAAGTCAAGGCCTCATTCAATGAGGTCTGTCATAAACTCCAGTACACTGGGCGTGTTGTGTGAGCTCCTCTGACCACAATACGAGACCGTGAGAAACTGCACCATCGGGTTCTTCCACGGGGAGTGGCCGCGTTCTCCCCACCTCGCCCCACAGCCGGCCCAGTCTGCCAGGGTCTGATGGTGTCTACGGGAGCCCAAGGCCATTCTGCCATCTAACTGGGTCTGCAAAAATGCCGGGGTTGAGGAGGCTATGCCTTTATATCTTTTTTCTCTTGACCCACAATTGACTTTCCGCCCTTGTCCAATAATCCCTAAGACGGGTCTTCCTGTCTGCCTGTCCCAGACTGTCCTTCCCTGCAGAGTCCGCCGTGCCCATGGGCTTCCGCTTGGACACCAGCAACTTCACACACGTCCCAAGTTTTTCAGGAGAAAGACAGAAGCTTTCTTTTTAAAGTACTTTTTTATCCTGCATTGTAAAAGCTCATATATGCTTACTATGGAAAATTTGTAAAGAGAAAAAGAAAAACCATTAAAATGATCTACAGCTCTACCATCCAAAAAAACTCGCTGTTAATAATTCAGTTTATATACTTGTCTTTTTTCTATGCACTGAGACCACACCATTCCCTACACATAATGCTTTGTATCCTTCATTTCTCTCTCGATAATGTACTGTAAGCAGTTCAGTTCACTAAATCTATAAAACATGTTCTTCAAGACCTTTTTTTTTTCCCTGAGACAGAGCCTTGCCCTGTCACCCAGGCTGGAATGCAGTGGTGCAGTTTCTGCTCACTGCAGCCTCCACCTCCTGGGCTCAAGCGATCCTTCCACCGCAGCCTCCCTAGCTGGGACTACAGGCGCACACCACCACACCTGGCTCATCATTTTTTGGAGAGACAGGGGTCTATTTGCCCAGGCTGGTCTCAAACCCATGGATTCAAGTGATCCGGCTGCCTCGGCCTCCCAAAGTGCTGGGATTACAGGCGTGAACCACCGCACCCGGCCAAGAGCATGATTTTGCATGGTGTAAAACAGAATGCTATTCCACGGTTAGGATATACCACAATTTATTTGGCCAGTAGCCTTATTATTGAAAGTCTCGGCCATTTCCCATTGTTGTGTTTATGAACAGTGCTGCGCTGCATATATTCTTACACATAGGCCTTTGCATGGACCTCTGGTCCCTAGGGGAATTCCTAGCAGTGGAACCACATTAAAGGGTATGAACCTTGCCTGGTTCTTTTTCTTTTTTTTCTCTAGTCATCATCGTGCCTTGCCTGATTCTTAAGGGCATCTAAACATATTTTTTTGTTTATTTTGTTGTGATCCAATTCAGTTGGCAAAAGGAGATGAACTCTGGCTGCTGGTGGAGAGGGTGGCTTGGCCATGAGTGGGACAGGCCTTCTCACAGGCAGGACACATCCCGGGTGGGAACACGCTTGCTCTTTGCACCCATGTTCTTTACCTCAAGGACGGCCACAGAGGCAGCGACGCCAGGCCCAGCACACGATGCGGGCACACGCGACCAGCTGATCGTGCCTTTTTAAGTAAGGCAAATACACAGATACTGCTCATTTCAATCCAATCGTATAAGAATCATGCTTTCTAACACAGTTCACAGTGTGTCTCTCAAGCCCCCCAACAGGCCGTCAAGGGATTAAAGCTCATAAAACCCAGGAAAACAAGAGGTACGTATCATTCATGAAACTAAAACCCCCTTCCCAGGATGCCACACACACCAATGCCTCGGCAGGCACCAGCGAGGAAGGGGCTCTGGAGGCACCGACATGAGCACTGGACTGGACTGCCAGGCAGACGGCACCTGTGACAAGACGGCAGGGAGGGAAGCAGGGGCCCGCCACGCCCCACTCACAGTGAGCCAATCCGCTCTCATCCAAAATCCTAGGCATCCCGAGGGAGAACGACGCAAAGGTTTTATTTTTTCTTAAAAACGGACCAAGTTAGTTAGTAGAAGATGTGCCAATGTAGAACTTCCTAGAAATTGTTATTGAATAATTTGTTTCTTTTTACTTCAAAAGTGACTCTCTGTCAGTACCCTTTTGACTGTGATGGAATTGAACACATATCTACCAACTTAGCTTACACAGAATCAAATAAGACAGAATATAAAAGGGCTTTAGAAACCATGTGTGTCCTGTACATCTTATTACTGTTAAAAACATCAACCAGGATTTTCCTTAATTAGTTTAATGTGCTCTTTTAAAAGGGAAGACATAAAAAGCTTTCTTTTTAATCAGACAGCAATCCTCAAATACATATGTGGGTTACGATAATTTCTTCACAAAGCTTTATTTCTGATCTAAAATAAACTATCACCAAATTTCAACTTTTTAAAAGCTAAAACTATTTTTCTTTCCTATGCCATGCAAGCCTTTAAACAAATAAAATACGCAGACATCTTTATTAGTCCCTGTGTTTTCAGACAACAGAAAACGCCAAAGCCAAGAGGAGCTCCACATAAAATAAGCTTGTCCTCTTCAGCTACTAGGATCAGAAGAGAGCACTGGCCGGGGAAGTTTTCAGAACCGAGGAAATAAATGCTTGCAAGGAAGGTGCCAGTGCCTTTAATCAAAGCCTTGCTTCCTGTAATTATATTCCACATAAAATAACAACTGTCTTTGCCACAGACAGTTACCCAGTCCCATACTTAGCTGCTCTGTTATTTAGGAAATGACCAACTCCTTTTTCAGAAGCAAAGTGGTTAATATCATGTGATTACTTTAGTAAGAGATGTAAACAAAGCCAGTAATGTGAGGATCTGTTGACTGATCCAAGAAAGCAGACAGTCAAGATGGAGGCAAGAATCGGCCGGGTGCTGGGGAGCGAGAGAGGGCCCCGGCTGTGGCCAGGCTCTGCTGCCAGCGCACCCCTCGGAACAGCCCGTCTCTGCAGGGCACGCCCTGGAGAACGCGACGCTGGGGCAGATACGGCGGCTGAGCGATCACAGATCAAACGACCTCGGGGAGGAAGGGTCTTCATTTGCGGGACAATGGGCTACGTGTAGTGTCCCGTCTCTGGCCACCTCAGTGGGGCAGGCGAATGCCTCTGACCACAAGGCTGGAGGTCGCCACGCCTGCAGGGTGCCACGACGTACGCCATCTGTGGGCAGAGCTCAGGTGTCATGGAAGCCGAGCCCACAACAGAGCTCCTCTGCAGGCTCCTCAGCCCCCCAGAGCCCACCCCACACACATGCAGTGGGGCTGCTACTCACCATGGTCTGTGCTCTCTGCTGCCTCCCATCACGGGGGCTGTAGTAAAAGGCCAAGAGCCACAGCAAGGCCGCGGGGGGTTCGGCTGCCGACCTCAGGAGCTGCTCGGCCACCATCTCAGCCCATCCTCCGAAGTGAATGAACAGGAACCAGCTCTCCAAGGGACCTCCGCGGGACCTGGAACACAGCCAGAACACAAGGCAGCTGGCAACCTGAATTCTTCCTTCAGGTTTTTAAAGCAACTTGAACGTTTGCCAACGGTTGGCTTAAATTGTACTTATCCACTGAAGTGCAACCTGCAAGGAATACAATTCAGACTCAGCCTGTCCAAACGCCACTTTGCGTCATCACAGGACATCGAAAGGGCCTCTCAGGACCCCTGTGAGGCCTGAGGCCTCCGGACATCGGAGTCTTTAATCCAGGTACCTTCAGTGAGGACAGGCACTGAGGAAGGAAGATTGCGGTCGTGACCAGCAGGAACGTGGCAGGACACGGCGACACATCTCCCTGCCTTCTGAGACGCAGAGAAAGAGGTGGAGGGTGGGACACAGGCAGAAACATGGGCTGTTCCACTTCTGACAAGACGCAAAGTTTGGGTGGATGTTTCAGCAACTAGGAATTTTTAATGAGCTGCTGTCATCATGTGTGCGTCAATGCCAGAAAGTTAAAAGCGTTTGCGAAGCTATCCCCTCGCCACACTGGCAAATGGAAGCTGCAGTACTTGTTTCAGGGTAGAATCCGCTCGAGGTAAGGGCCACGAACTGTGTGCAGTGCCGGCCTCAGCAGGCGAACATTCCCCTTGGAGAGGATGGAACAGGCCGGCCTGAGATCACGTTAGATGAGAACTTTCCTTCTCGACTGGGGCAGGGGCCGCAACAGGAGTGTTCCTGGCCCCTTTGTTGGATCTGCCTCCGTGTTCCTCTGCCTGGCCCGTGGAATTCCCAAGCTCTAAATACCATCCTCGCCTCTCTGGTCACTGCCCCAGTCCTTCCTGAGAACCAGTGGGTAAATGTTCTACATTTGAGCAACAGAGACAAAAAGACAGGAGGGTGGAGTACTGGTCTTACTCCCTCTTTCCCAGCACACAGAGCTGATGCTCTGCCGGCCACGTTGGCTGTGGGCTGGGTTAGGCTGTATCAGAGTGAGGAGGGGACTCCGCCATGCCTCTTCCCTGCAGGCACCATGTCAGGGGAGACAGACGCACGGAGCAGTGGGCTCCCTCATGCTCCCCAGGTTGGCAGCGTGCCTGGATCAGGACCAGAGACCAGCCTCGTCCTTCCCTCTGTCTTCCACCAGTAGCTGAATGCACAAGGCATCCCATGTGGTCACCTGAAAGGTGTCTCAGGGCCCCAAGGTCCGGGTTGAGGTGGGAGCCCCAGGAGGTCTAAGTCCTGCTCTGTAGCACCACATGCGTCCTTTCTGGTGGCTGTGATTCCGGCCTCCACGCATTTTGACATCACACATTCTGAGTCATGGCGGAGAGCGTGGGCAGGAAGAAAAGAAAAACACCCAGGGCACCCGCGGCACCGCATTTCTCAATCACAGGGTGGCCTACTTATGCCACTTCCATCTACTTCCCTGTCCCCGAGTTAAGATTCTTCAAGGTCCAGCTCTGTGTGATGCCAGGACAACCAGGGAGGGTGTGTGTGGGGCCGACTGGCCACTGCAGCCTATTCACGTGGCCAGCCGTGGAGCCCCCTGGCTGCAGGCCTTTCTCTCTCGTCTCTGTCAGTGAGAAGCACGGTGAGGAAGGAGTGAGCAGCTGGCACCCGAGCCATCAATCGCAGAGACGATGTCACCCATCGTCTGTGTCAACTTGGTGTGAGATTACAGAGAACTCCAGGAGTGAAAAGTGGCAAAAGGAACAAATAAGATAGTCTTAGTAGGCTAGCAGGGACAATGAATAAAATTATACTCTAAAAGAAAGGGAGTTAAGAGGAAGCCAAAGAGTGTTATGATACAAGGAATTCAGCAAGGCATAAATGTGAATGCTTTCAGGAAAATCACACACATAAGACAGTACCTAACACTACTGTTAGAAATTAACAGGCTGGGCACAGCAGTCCACACGTGTAATCCCAGCACAATGGGAGGTCAAGGCAGGGGATTACTTGAGCCCACAAATTTGAGTCAATACAGCAAGACCTCTACAATTTTTTTTTTTTTTTTGGAGACAGAGTCTCGCTCTGTCACCCAGGCTGGAGTGCAGTGGCGTGATCTCGGCTCACTGCAAGCTCTGCTTCTCCAGTTCACGCCATTCTCCTGCCTCAGCTCCTGCCTCAGCCTTCTGAGTGCTGGGACTACAGGCGTGTGCCACCACGCCCAGCTACTTTTTTTTGTATTTTTAGTAGAGACAGGGTTAGTCAGGATGGTCTCAATCTCCTGACCTCGTGATCCACCCGCCTTGGCCTCCCAAAGTGCTGGGCTTATAGGTGTGAGCCACCGCGCCCAGTCACAAAAAAAATTTAAACATTAGCTAGGTGTGGTGGTGTGTGCCTGTAGTCCCAGCTCTCAGGAGTCTGAGTCGGAGGATCACCTAAGTCCAGGAATTTGAGGCTGCAGTGAGATGTGATCATTCCACTGCACTCCAGCCTGGGCCACAGAGCAAGACCTTATCTCTAAAAATTAAAAAAAAATTTGTTAGAATAGGTTTTCTCATTTTAGAGGTATTTATTAAAGAGAAGGAAAAACAAGCATTTAACATTCCACCCTACTGTGCAGAAGTTGCAAATTTCCTTCCCTAGAGAGGAAGAGAGAAGACCAAAGGGCGCCCAAACAAACGCCCTTTTCCTTCTGCACGGCCAGGGCTTCCAGCAGGTGGGTGCTGCTTTTTTCCAGCGTCTCTTCTTTTCATTGTTATGCCTGTATATTTTGAAATCTAAAATCAGACATTACGTAGAAACGTTTCGATACAGGTGTTCTCACACGCATACGCGTGCAATGCCTATTCATCCTGACCTGCTCCAAGCCATCCGTGTGGCCGTGCGCTTCCTCCACTTCTCACTTCACCGTGCTGCTCGCCTGTTTGGTGGCGGTCCCAGACCAGTAACGCCTTCCTCTGTCCTGTCAGCCCTGCTCAAAGGGCAGATGAGGATCTAGGGAACCCGTGTGTGAAGTAGATTTGGGAGTGGTCAGTGTTTGCTCACCCATGAGTCTGGTCTTCAACTGCTTCTCGGAGCAGTTCGGAAATGTGTTTCAGTGTCTGCAGCCAGCGTCCCCGAGGGACATCTGTGGGTGGAGAGAGACAGGTCAGAGGGCAAGTGAGGAAATGGCAAGCCCATGAGGAGCCACCTGCAGGGACGACCTCGGAGTCTTTGCGAGACACCCTTTACTTCTGGTTCACAGAACCCAATACTGTTCTCATGCTCTTCCCAGTCAGTACCTATCTCTTAAGCAAGCTCTGTCCATATTACACAGAGCTGAACCTCAAAGAATCTAATCTCTTTATTTAGTTTTGTGGGGGTTTTTAAGACACAGTATTGCTTTGTCAGAGGCTGAAGTGCAGTGGCTCGATCCCGGCTCACTGCAGCCCCAACCTTCTGGGCTCAAGCAATCCTCCTACCTCCGCCTCCCCAGCAGCTGGGACTACAGGGGTGCACCACCATGCCCAGCTAGTTTTAAAACTTTTTTGTAGAGATGAGGTTTCATTATGTTTCTCAGACTTGTCTCAAATTCCTGGGCTCAAGTGATCCTCCCCCTTGGCCTCCCAAAGTGCTGGAATTACAGGCATTAATCGCCACACTTGGCCTCAAGTACTTTTGAATTCAGGTACATAGAAGTAGCTAGAGATTGCATAAGCAACCCCTGCTGAGACTGGGAAATGCCGGCTGCGGATGCCTAGGTTTCTTCTCTACCTACCCACTCCTCCATCACTAATGTGTGATTTCAGAATAGAGAGAGACTGTAGTAAAGCAGCCAACAAGGAATTAGGAATAGACCGCCTGACTGCTTTCCTAGGGCTGTGATGAACTCACAATATGATTTCAGGTTTACAGTGGAAAAAAAGGCCAGGAAAGAAAATAAGTGAGCATTATGCAAACAAATATCTTTTCTTGAGTGAGCTGCTCTGGTTTCACAATCATCCTGTAGTTTTAAACACATCTGAGCAGCACATATCTGCAGTTCTATGCAGCATCTGCAAAAATTTTCACATAGTGATAGATGCTACAATCGAACGCACAAGGAAGGTAAGGCGAGTGATGGACGAACTGCTGCTACTCCACAAGGCCAGTGCCTCCCTCCTCTGAACCCCCGCGGCCCTTGGAGCACAGCCTTTTGAAGGCATTTTTCGTTTCTTCCTTTTACTAGCTATTTAGACATTTATTTTGCATTTCCTCCACTTGTAGTTCCTAGACAGTCAGGGCTTGGAAGTGATCATCTTTTATACCCTCCCCCGACCTTCACAATGGGCATGAAATAAATTTCTGATGAACAGAAGATCATGCTACTAAAAAACACTTCTTCAGCGTGTGACCATCACACTGTTTGCCAAAGTAACATACAGACAGCTGTTCTAGGAACTAGCACAAGAGGTTCTTGCACTTCTGCTTGAAGCCACCTATTTATATTTGGACATAAATCTACGAGTTACACAAACGGAAAGGTAGAGGGTTGGGCCCGTGCCCACGCACCACCTCGCTGTCTGTTTACTATTTCCACACGGAGACGCTAACAACTCCGGTACATTTTCTGGAGCTCACTCGGCGCCCCCTGTCGGCTGACTTCAGGCTTTGCTGATCTGACCTAAGCTGTAGGGGGGACCCTGGGAGAGTGAAGTCCTCATTTTTGTCTTGTTAATAAAGTTTTCCCAAGGGTTTTCATAAAACTGTCACCCAGAGACCCCATCCCCAGCTCTGGCATCTGAGAGGACAGTGTCAGGGGATCACCCTGGGCGAGAACCTACATCTTCTTGAAAAAGGAAGAGGAATTTAGGTTTTGTAAAATGCTCTGAAACTTCAAATCATTTGCATTTCTCAAACAAATCTACTCACTGAAGTCTCAGAAAAAAGGCAGGCCCAAAATGGCATAAAAAGGAAATGTGACTGGCTCATTCCCTTCTGTCTCCTCTCCTGCCATGCTCCAATAAGGCCCCTTTCTGGCTGGCACAGTCTGTGCCCACGTCAGGACTGCCTTCCGTCAGGTTTCAGGCCTCGGAGGGAAAGGGGGCCCTTATTCTCTATTTCTGAAATGTCTCCTAAGCATGAGCTCGTAGCCACATTCCTGGATCAACACCAGTCGAATGAAGGCTGGAACCACCACTTCCCCACCCGGATAGCCTTTGGAAGGCTGGCAAAGGGTATCAGGAAAGGCTGCGGATGAAGCACCTTATTGAACTCTCTCAAAATCCTTCCCTTAGCTTCGTTAGGGGGAACCTCCCCTGAATTTCCTCAGCTTCATCCATCATTTTATCTTTTCTTCTGCAACAAGGCTGCACGGAGTAGAAAGAATGAAAAGCAAATGAAGGTACTGTTTTCTTCCGACTCAGCCACATCTTGGCCTGTTCCTGGCATCTGGCGGACCTGGTTGGCACCAGCAGAGCCTGTGTTCTCTGGAGGCAGACTAGCAAGACCTACCAGAGGCCACTGGTTTGTTTTTTTTCTTCTTCTTTTGGGAAGTGATCACAACTGGGAAGCCAAGAAGACTCTCATATCAAATCTACAGAATGGATCCTGGGCGCTCAAAGGATCTTAGAAATAACCAGCTGTGTCTCCCTCATGCTATAGATAAGGGCCTGGTGGGGCGGCCATTGTTTGACAGTGCCCTTCCCAGGAAATCATTCTGATGTGGGCAGAGTCAACCCTAACTCACCTTGAGGGTCTTGCAGCAGCACCATGGCAAGAGATGGAGAAGTGTAAGGAAAGTAGGTCTTGAGTGCAAACCGCAGCTGCCACAGGATGGAAAATCCAAAGAGCACAAACATTAAGATTGAAATGGGGTCAGGAAAATACAAAACTCCGAGTCCTCTGCCCAAAAAGGCCCACCAGTACTAACATGGTCAGAACACTTTCTGAAACATTTAGTTTTTGAAAAATAAGCTCCCAGTAACCTCGTATTTTCCAGAATAATTAACCTTTTAAATCACCTCCTGGGACTTAAGAAAAATAATAAAGTTATGCTCTTGATGTCTTTATGAGTTCTACCTCACGTGAACCCAATTATACAAATAAACCTTCTATTTCAGAAAGACTTGTCAGAGCAGTTGTGAGATGTTAGGTATTTCAGCATTTTTTTTTTTTTTTGAAACGGAGTTTTGCTCGTTGCCCAGGCTGGAGTGCCATGGCGTGATCTCAGGTCACCGCAACCTCTGGCTCCCGGGTTCAAGCGATTCTCCTCCCTCAGCCTCCCAAGTAGATGGGATTACAGGCACGCGCCACCACACCCGGCTAATTTTGCACTTTTAGTAGAGATGGGGTTTCTCCTTGTTGGTCAGGCTGGTCTCAAACTCCCGACCTCAGGTGATCTGCCTGCCTCGGCCTCCCAAAGTACTGGGATTACAGGCGTGAGCCACTGCGCCTGGCCTGTTTTTGTTTTTTTATTGAGATGGAGTCTCGTTCTGTTGCCCAGGCTGGAGTAAAGAGGCACAATCTCAGCTCACTACAACCTCCACCTCCTGAGTCCAAATGATTCTCCTGCCTCAGCCTCCTGAGTAGCTGGGATTACAGGCACGCGCCACCATGCCAGGCTAATTTTTGTATTTTTAGTAGAGATGGAGTTGCACCATGTTGGCCAGGCTGGTCTTAATCCTCACCTCAAGTGATCCGCCCGCCTTGGCCTCCCAAAGTGCTGAGGTTGTAGGCGTCAGCCGCTGTGCCGGCTCAGCGTGGTTTTTAAAATAACAACAAAAGCATGAAACAACTGTGCTCACTTTTCGAAGGCCAAAGAGCTCCAGCTATCCACACCCCCAAGAGGCACAGCTTTTTAAAACATTGAGGTAAAATCTATAAAGCATGGAGTGCATAGGCTTTAAGTATATGAGGTTTTGGTAAACGTGCAAATCCATGTGACCGCCACCCCAGTGAAGACACCATTTCTATCACGCCAAGAAGACCTCTTCCAACTCTTAACAATCATTCCCTCCACCCCACCCTGGAAACCAGTGTTTTGATTTTGACAAGAGAGATTTATTTTGCTTATTCTTGAATTTTGTGTAAAGGGAACATGAAGTATGTTTTCTTTTGTGTCTGGCTTCTTGGGCTCAACATGTTTTTTTAAAGATTAAACCATGTTATTGTGTGCGAGTAGATCATTCTGTTTTTATTGCTCAGAAGTAGTCTGAATTGTATGAATATGCCATAGTCTGTTTAGCCATTCTCCTCTTGATGGGCTGCTTCCAGTTGAGGGCTGTCATGAATAAAGCCGTAGTTCACATGCATACATCTGTCTTTTTGTGGACATGTGTTTCTGTTTCTCCTGGGCACACCATCGGAATGGAATTGCTGGGTCACAGATAGATGCTTGTTTAACATCGTAAGGCCATATGGTTTCCAGTGTTGTGCCATCTCACTCCCACCAGCAATGTGTGTGAACTCCAGGTGCACCACGTGCTCCCAGCATTTGGTGCTGTCAGTCTTACTAATTTCATCCATTCTAGTGGACAGGGAACACAACCCCATGTATGCTTGCTTTCCTACCTGTTTCACTCTGCACTTTCCTGATGGCAAATGATGCCGAACAACTTTCATGTGCTTACTGCCAATTTGTATATCTTTTTTGAAAGTGTATATTCAAGCCTTTTGTCCATTTTCGAAACTGGTTTCTTAGGCAGTTATAAGAGATCTTCATATATTCTGGACACATGTCCTCTGCTGTATACATGTATTACAAATATTTTCTCCTAGCTAATAGCTTGCTTTTTCAGTTTCTTCTTCTTCTTTTTTTTTTTTTTAATTTATTGAGACGGAGTCTTGCTCTGTTGCCAGGCTGGAGTGCAGTAGTGTGATCTTGGTTCCCTGCAACCTCCACCTTCCGGGTTCAAGCGATTCTCCTGCCCCAGCCTCCCAAGTAGCTAGGACTGAAAGCACATGCCACTACCCCCGGCTAATTTTTGTATTTTTAGTAGAGATGGGGTTTCACCATGTTGGTCAGGATGGTCTTGATCTCTTGACCTTGTGATCCACTCACCTCAGCCTCGCAAAGTGCTAGGATTACAGGCACATGAGCCACCGTGCCTGGCCTGCTTTTTCAGTTTCTTAATGATATCTACCAAAGCATATAAATTTTAAATTCCTTTCTTATTTTTTGAGATATGGTTTCACTCTGTTACCCAAGCTGGAGTGCAGTGGCATGATCATAAGCCTTGATCTCCCAGGCTCAAGTGATCCTTCTACCTCAGCCTCCCCAGTAGCTAGGACAACAGGTGTGTTCCACCACGCTTAGCGAAATTTTGTATTTTTTGTAGAAAAGGGGTCTTACTTTGTTGCCCAGGCTGGTCTCCATCTCCTGGGCTCAAAAGATCCTCCTGCCTTGGGGCTCGCAACGTGCTGGGATTCCAGGTGTGAGCTATGCCCCCAGCCTAGAAGTTTTAAATTCTGATGGGGTCTAATTTATCCATTTTTCTCCTATGCTTAGTGCTTCTGAGAAATCTTAGATCACCTCATGGTCAAACAGATACATTCTCCTATGCTCTCTCTAGGGGCTTTATCTTTCTAACATTTCTCTTGAAGCCCATGATCCTCTCAAATTAACTGTTGTATGCTTTATAAGGTAATGGTTGAGGCTCATTTTTCTACATATGGACATCCAGTTATTCCAGCATCATTTGTTGAAAACGTTCCTTTCCCCATTGAATTGTCTTGGCGTCTCTGTCAAAAATCGATTGGCCACATATGCATGGTCTGCATCTGGACTCAATGCTGATCGATGGTTGTTTTTTCCCCAATACCTCACTGTCTTGATTACAATAGGTTTTAAAATCTTTTTTTTTTTTTTTCATTTTAAGACAGGGTCTCGCCCTGTCATCCAGGCTGGAGTGCAGTGGCGTGATCATGGCTCACTGCAGCCTCCACCTTCTGGGCTCAAGCAGTCCTCCCACCTCATCCTCTCGAGTAGCTGGGACTACAGGCACGCATCACCATGCCCAGCTAATTTTTTATTTTTTATTTTTTTTTTTGCAGAGACTGGGGTCTCACTGTGTTGCCCAGGCTGGTCTTGAACTCCTGGACTCGAGCAATCGTCCCACCTTGGCCTCCCAAAGTGCTGGGATCACAAGCATGAGCCACCGTGTCCAGCCAGGTCTTCGTTTTTTTGTTCAGTCTGACATTTCTGCCTTTTTACCAGAATATTTAACTTCCATTTAATTGCTGAAATTAATGTCATTCTTGGTGGTTTTGGGTTTAGGTCTACCTTTTGACATTGGTTTTCTTTTTCCCCCTCAATTTTTTTTTGTTCCTTTGGCAGTTTACATTTCTATTTTTTGGCACCTTAACTCGATCCGATTGTGCCAAGTTCTGGCCTCCCCGGCCCCACACCCGCTCCCAACCTCACATGAGGGCAGGTGCGGGGTGGGGGGCGAGGGGGGCAGGAGACCTCTCAGTGTGGTGTCCCTTTAAAGCGCTGGTGGCCTCCAGTCTCCATCCACTTTCTCAGGTGCTCTGTATGCCTTCAAATAGATTTTAAAAAATACTTGGCCTGGAGTTTATCATTTTTATCTCTGGGAGATTTAATCTAGCTCATGAGCAGATGCTGTCATGGCTGCAACCAGAAACTGACCTGACTGGCTGTACTAAGCCACAGTGCAGGCTTAGGATAAGTGGCTTATCACACCCGCCTCAATTTCTGCCTACTGTCTGATAGGGCATAATGATGGAGCTGACTGTGTCCTCCAAACAGAACAGGGGCAAGAGCAAAGGGTAAGAAAAGACAGAATCACTGACGTGAGTGCTTCTGATGATGGGTGAGAATGTGGATTTACGGGATCACTCATAACCCGTTGCAGGAGTGCAAATGGGCACCAACACTTCTGAAATGAGTCTGGCAGGATCTATGAAAGCTGAACCTCTGCATACCGAACACACTTCCACTCCGAAGTACCTATCCCAGAGTGTTCACGCAACATGGCGGGATCTATGAAAGCTGAACCTCTGCATACGGAACACACTTCCACTTCGAAGTACCTGTCCCAGAGTGTCCACGCAACATGGCGGGATCTATGAAAGCTGAACCTCTGCGTACGGAACACACTTCCACTCCGAAGTACCTATCCCAGAGTGTCCACGCAACATGGCGGGATCTATGAAAGCTGAACCTCTGCGTACGAAACACCCTTCCCTCCGAAGTACCTATCCCAGAGTGTTCACGCAACATGGCGGGAGGATCTATGGCGAACCTCTGTATACAGAAACACACTTCGACTCCAGTACCTGTCCCAGGGTATCACGCCCAACATGGCGGGATCTGTAAGCTGAAAGAGTGTCCACGCAACATGGCGGGATCTATGAAAGCTGAACCTCTGCATACCGAACACACTTCCACTCCGAAGTACCTGTCCCAGAGTGTCCACAGCAACATCGTTTGTAATAAAAAACAAAACCTGGACGCATCCCAAGTGCCTCCCAGCAGCAGGACGGCTGTACCGCCACACATTTTCACATGGACTGTGCATAACAACACTTCCCCACAGCCACACATGGCAACATCAAGCAGTCTTTGCTGAGTGGAAAAGCAAGTCTCAAAAGACTGCACACAGTATGCTGCTCCTGTTTGTTTTATAAAGTGCAAAAACAAACGAAACTAAACAAAACATTGTTTAGGCAGTCATATATATGTGATCAAACTACCTTTAGAAAGAACAAAGGAATAATAAACATAAAATTCAAACCAGAGGTTACCTGGAGGGAGAGAGGCAAGGAGGAGCACGTGTGTAGACACGTATTCAGATGATTAGATATCAGGTTTACAGATATTCATTTTATTAAGAAAGAATTAATGAATAAACCACAGAGAGAAAAGAGGGTCATGCATCTACCAAATACGACATGAGGGGTTTTGATTAGCTAAAAATGGACACTCAAGAAGGCAGAGGGTCAACAGATGCAGATGGCCATCAGTTAAAAAGGCAGGCACACAGAAACAGCTCTAGGAAGAGAAATAAACTAACAGATACCTATGCAGGCATCGGCAAAACGAAGAGACTTTGCTCTCCTTTGTTGAGCTGAAGGTAAGGGTGGTGAATTCCTGTTTGCTTTCGGATCCCTGCCCTGCCTCACACCAGGACCCGGTGTGTGGTCCCATGTCCTTAGATAACGTATGCCTGGTCAGGGCACTATTCTCAATTAAAAGCAACTGCAACATCAGTCCCAATCCATAGTGGCCACAGCCAACACAGAGGCTGAGGGCGAAGCCAAGAAGAAAAACAGGCGCGAGCTAAGCCTAAAGAGCACAGTGGCGTTCCTCCGCGGCCACTGCTCCAACCCAGGTGTGCTCCGCGAGGCCGAGGTGAGACTCCCTAGAGGCCCGTTCCTAATGGGGACTACAAAGAATACACAAGGGAAGCGCAGGGACATTGACAGTTAGGCTTAAAATAACCGTGAGGGCCAGCCGTGCCTTCCAGCTGAGCCGCCTCCAAAACTCTAGGTGGGACCATGGAGAGCGCAGCTTGCTACAGCCCAGCTAACTTCTCCAGGGAAAGTGAGGGTGGGAAAAAATAAATCACAAATATTTATTGTTGGCCAGGCACAGTGGCTCAAGCCTGGAATCCAAGCACCTTGGGAGGATCCCCTGAACCCAGGGGTTCGAGACTAGCCTGGGTAACAGAGAGACTCCATTTCCACAAAAAAAAATTTAAAAATTAGCTCACAGTGGTGGCTTGAACCTGTGGTCCCAACTACTCGGGAGGCTGAGGTGGGAGGATCATTTGAACCCAGGAAGCCGAAGGCTGCAGTGAGCCATGATCACACCACTGCACTCCAGCCTGGGTGACAGAGTGAGCGCCTGTCTCAAAAAATAAAATAAATATCTATTTATTGTTGTTTTAAAAAGCAGAAACAGGCTGGGTGTGGTGGCTCACACCGGTAATCCCAGCACTTCGGGAGGCCAAGGTGGTGAGATTGCTTGAGCCCCAGAGTTTGAGACTAGCCTGGGCAACATGGTGAAACCCCATCTCTAATAAAAATGCAAAAATGAGTGCTCCCTCCAGTCCGTGCCTCCAATATGATGAAAAAAAGAAGGAACAACGGTCGTGCCAAAAAGGGCCGCGGCCACGTGCAGCCTATTTGCTGCATGAACTGCGCCCGATGTATGCCCAAGGACAAGGCCATTAAGCAATTCGTCATTGGAAACATAGTGGAGGCCGCAGCAGTCGGGGCGTTTCTGAAGCGAGCGTCTTCGATGCCTGTGTGCTTCCCAAGCTGTACGTGAAGCTACAGTACTGTCTGAGTTGTGCAATTCACAGCAAACTAGTCAGGAATTGATCTCGTGAAGCCCACAAGGACCAAACACCCCTACCCCGATTCAGACCTGCGGGTGCTGTCCCACGTCCCCCACCAAAGCCCACATAAGCAGCTGAGTCCTTAAGGACTGAAGACAGACTATTCTCTGGAGAAAAATAAAATGGACATTGCACTTAATAAAAAAATACAAAAAGTAGCCATGTGTGGTGGCGTGCACCTCTGGTTCCAGCTACTCGCAGGGGCTAAAGTGTGAGGATCACCTGAGCGTGGGGGGTTGAGACTGCGGTGAGCTGAGATCACATCACTGCACTCTAGCCTGAGTGACAAAGTGAAACCCTGTCTCAAAAAAAAAAAAAAAAAGAAAAAGTAGAAATACCAGCTAAAACCTAAGAGATCTGTTTGACGTTGGCAAGGGGTGTGATCTGGTGGAGCCGAGCACTGTCGCTCTGCTCTCAGAAGTCAAACTGCAGAGCTTCACAGGGGCCGTGACATACTCCACAGATGGGATGCGCTGGACCAGCACCCCTCTCGACAGGCAGTATGTCCCATAAACATTACTTCTGTGGCCGTTAGAAATCAAGGCCAAATAAAATGCTGAAAGGTGAAAGCTCTCTGGTAGCAAAGGTTGCTGTTTCACGAGGTCACTCTAATTGGTCAGTGACCCTTGGCAGCTGTTGCCCAGCCTCTGCTGCTGGGGACCTGGAGCACAATCTTCTGCAGGGTTCAGGCCTGGCCTTTGGTTTACTGACTGTGCCTAACACACACCTCCTGCTCACTGCCCTTCCTCACTCTTCCTCTAGTTAGTCAAGCTTTTCCCAGTCACTCTTACCACCTCCTTTCCTGGAATCCAATTCACATTTGGGTCTCTGATAAGAATAAAGATGCAAATAATGAAGAATGTCCGGGACTGCTTTGCAATAAATGCCCTTTCCTATTCAGTGCATGCCATACAGACCCCAGGACGCCTCCTGCTGACCTGGGAGGCTCAGATGCAGCCAGAGGGCAGTGTCCGGCTCGGCAGACAGCGCACAGCACAGGGCCACGCATGCTGGCTTGACAGAGTTCTCAGACACAACAGTAGACAGATGCTTCTGGGTACCAGGGCACGGGACAGGCAGATCTTGATTTATGTTAAGTTAAAATGGTTTAGCCTTTGTTGGGGCACTCATTAGGAACCTTTCTTTGTGAGCAAAACAGTCCATCAGAATTACTGAAAATAAAGTGCTCTTGTCCAAATACTCCCAACAGCCTCTTATTCTTTGGGATGAACGAGTAATAGATGCAATATAACAAACCTGCTTGTTTTCTTTCTCCAGAGCTTCTACGAAGCACTGCGTAAACACTTGAATAGTGGCTATGATTTCCGGGGCCCCATCGGTTTCCAGGAGTGCACACCTGAACAATGCAAAGTCAGATCAGAACACGTTTAACAAGTAATCCGGCAAACATAAAAACGTGTACTGTATAAGGGAAGAGTGGAAACACTTTTTTTGTGCCATAAGCTTCAGCAGTATCTCAACTCATCAGATTTCAGTCCTTGTGGGAAAGCAGGATAAATCTGTTGCTCCCTTTTATAAATATTTTCTTTAAAATTGCAATGGGTAGAGCTCTCTTTCTTGGTTCTTAAATTATTAAGGAACGCAAATGCCTTCCATACAGGCTTGCATACTCTGTACAAGTATTTTTGTATTGTATGCCTGGACACGCAACATCAACATTCTGCTTTCACAAGTGGAGAAACGGCTTGGACCATCCACCCAGCAAAGCAGGAAAAGAATCTGTGTGTACCTGTACCTGGTTTGGTTTCCGTGCATTTTCATACAATTAATTTTTCTTTATGTTTGTTTAAGCAAAAAAAAAAAAACCTCAAATTTTGCTAGCTTTAAACCCTAAACAGTCATTACTGTAAAAATTCCTTTCCCCAAAGTCTGCAGTCTGCCCTGCAGCCTCTGCTGCTATGAATTAGGTGGGAGGGACTAGAGAGAGAGCTGATACGGGCTCCCCTGGAAGAGGGGCTGGGACACTCCCAGGTTGACAAGCTCCCCAGCTGGGTCCAGTCTTAGTACTCCATGGTTAAAACTCCCACTGACTGCCAGCCACAGCTCAGCTTCATGGCTATGAGCTCCTCGTCTCTTGCCGTCTGTAAATCTAATGCATTTTCCAAGAAGTACTCGTATTTTCAAAATAAACATTCAATGTGTTGTAAGAGAACATGCAAGGTGTATTTTGCCCCACAGAAGAGCTCTGTTAAGAATGACTTTATTTATTTTTCTTGGCTTTCTTTAGCTTTAAAGTCTTTTAAAAAGATTGGTCAGCCCTCACGTGGTGAAGGCAGTATATTGCTACCCTTTATTCTGAGCTGAGAAAAATCCTACATGAATATTTCATGATATTAATATCTAACTCAATTCTGTGTTTCTATTATTAGAATCTTTAAAGGCTAAAGAAAAGAAAGTTATCTTAATTCTTAGGCACTGGCCTTTAAATTTACACTGATTTTTTAGTTTTTACCTCTACCACAAAGCTCAGAGGAATAGGAGGGAATCAGAAACTCTGATTTCCCTGTGGTACAGCCAGAGACTACCACAACATTTTCTTTTCATGTTTGGAAATGGAACCTTTTTTGCATCAATTACTAGAAGAAACAGTGTAACATTTACCTGAACATCTCATCAACAACCCGGAATATGGCAGGGTGGCAGGCTGCTTGAGGCTGTAAAAGGAGACCAGGAGAATGTGAAATATCGCGGGCACTTTCTCAGAAACTTGCTATTATCAGCTCCAGGAGTCATCGGGAACTGCTCATGTCCAGAACACTGGCATATTCCTTCTGGTTAGAAAACAAGCACTGCTGTACTGAAAGCACCCCACACAAGTGCAGACGGCGGCCTGGGCGGGGGGTATATTCCTCTGTATACTCCTGTATGTCCCACGTTTTCTACAAAAGCTCAGGCGATCCATCATACAGGATCAGTAGCTACTACGGAAACTTAAACACGCTCTGCCCGCCTGCCTGTGCTGCCAGCTCCCCGGAGTGCGCCTGTGCCACCTCCGCAAACGGCTCCCGTGCCTGGAGCTCGGCCCTGCCTGCAGCCTGCTCACTCCTGCCTCTTCGGTCACGGGTACATGATAATCAGAACCATGACTGGCAAACCAGCCACCACGCTGGACTCAACCACCTCGCATCTTAGTGCACTGAACAGCTTCCGTGATTTAAGACGAAAAGCGGGTTCGTGAAGAATAAAAGGCATCTAACTTAACTTCCCCTTGATCTTCCGGCCGTGGGTTCTGATTCCGGAGTCTGCGGAAGCCCCGGGAGCTGGCGGCAGCTTCCCCGGCCCAACCCCCGGTTCCCTGTCGTTCTGGCCAGAGCTCAAAGTAGGAGATGACGCCCGATGCAAACGCCCATTTGTGTTCCAAAACAGGCCCTTTATAGCAGGGTCCGTGATGCTTCCGGCACCAGGAGCGGCTTCGTGGAAGGCGCGTGTCCGCAGACGCGGGGGGGAGACGGTTCCACGGAGCCGCCGCCCTCAGTCCGGGGGGATTCCGCACATGCGCAGTCACCACGGGGCGGCCCTGACGCGCAGGCGGATCGGGGCTCCCGGAAATTCAGTCAGGCTGCACGTGCTATGACTACAGCTTTGGGAAACGCTGTTCGCAGGCCCCATCCGTCCATCCGCAAGAAAAGAGGCGGCTTTGCTCCGCCCCGTGCCCCGGCGCACACTGCGGCAGCTCCGCCCTCCCCGGCCGCCCGCGGACACCGAGCCCGCGCCCTCTAGCGGCCACCCGCCAGCACTGCCGGCCCCGCCGGGCTCCAGGCGCAGCCCGGCCACTTGTCCAGGGCAGGATAATCGCCTTTTAATTATTTCAGGATTTCTAATTCGCAAGTTAAAACGTCCTGCTCTTTAAATAATCTATGCTCCCTCCTCCTTCACTGATGTGCATTTTTATCTAAAAGGAACTTGAAACTCTTACAGATAAATTCATTATCTATGCAAGAAAATAATTTGGCAGGACCACGGTTCAAGAGAGAAGAGGCAGGTTATTTCGTGGCTTTGAACTCAGGCATGTCAGTGAATCTCCTGCTGCCCAGTCTCACTGTAAATAACAACAGTTATTAAGAGGTCACTGGATATAAGCACGGAAAATATAAACGTTTCTATGCATTCATAACGAAAAAAATAAAACGAGGGGAAAGCAACTGCATGTCTTGAAGAAACATGATTCATCGAAGTTTGCCAGAGCAATTTTCAAAGTTTGCACGACAACATGCCTATTGAATAAGAGTGTTTAAGATCAAATAGCACTCTTTTGTGCCCACAGGCAGACAGACAAGAAAGAGCCTGGAAATGCATTGATAAGATCAAACTTGAAAATGGTAAAACTGAATTTCTTTTTTCTAAATAGTCAATCTATAGGTCTGATGATAGTAGAGAATCATTCCATACTAATTATAGTGATTTCCAAACAGCAAAGAAAATGATGATCAGATGTGTAGATTAGGGCTACCATGAAAACCACTGGGGCAGCAAAGAAGCCAGCTCTAACTCCATTCGTCAGAAGAGAGTGAGAGCTTGGATGCGCTCTTCTGCTGTGAGCTGTTTTCTAGCAAAATCGCTCCGTCCGATATTTTAAATGTTTGCTGGCTGTGTGGAATCTGCTTGTTCTTTCCCGTACAGATGGACTCTCCTCTTACATTTCTTTCTTTCCAAATATTTCAGACCCTTGGCTACTCTCAGCCTGCTTCCACAACCCATTTTGGCTTTTAAAACAGATAAAAGACCAGGAGGCAGGGGACCCTGCAGAAACAGCAACGGCAGAGATTTTGATTTGAAAACCAGTCTCCCTTGCCACCCTACAGCTGTGAACAGCTCCTTCTCATCTGCACCCCTCACCGATGGCTTTTAAAATGAGACTCTTTATACTTTCTGAGCACATAATTTCAGGGTCAGTGAGTCCCCTCATGAGGACTAGAGTACTACAGGTCAGGCATGTGTCCCAGCGACATCAAATCACAAAAGCAATCTTAAGCTGCTTTTCTTATCAAGATAATCTTCCAAATAGAATTAAGGTTTTAATACACGCTTCTTTGGAAGCCGTATCTTCCCCCCAAATGTCTGTAGCCTCCTCTAAGTGATGACGCAGGCGTCTAACCTCTGTGAATCCTGTTTTATGTGTAGGGTGGGCCACTCCGGTAACACACCAGAGGTCACGCTGCAGCCCAGGGCTCCAAAGCCCCATGACCGGGGCCATTATCTTTTCTATAAAAGCAAGGAAAGAAAATAAACCTTTTGTGGTTTCCATCTGTTTGTTTTTCTCCATCCTACCAAAATCTGTTCCTTCTCAAGCTCTCTCTTCTCCATCTGGCCTAACGATTTCCACGGGCAGATCATTTCAACTCGAGGGGAGCTATGTCAGCAGGAGGACTTCAATAACACGAGTCTTGTCCTTCCCTCCCTATTTCCCCGAGTCTTTCCACTGAATGCCCAGGATGACTGGGGGGCAACGATGGAGAGCTCTGGGTTCTGCCTTCCTTCTCCTATAGACCCGATTGTTCTGCTGGGTGTGCATCCCCTTGGGCTAATGAGAGCTTTCCCTCTCATCTCCCCTCACGGCTACCCCAAACTGCATCATCTCTCCTCTACCTAGAAAGAGGCCCATCTTCATCCCTGAAAACACAAAGGAAGACAAAGTCAACATGGAGTCGATACACAATCACCACGGTCTCAAATGCCTGTTTTGGAGGACAGGCAAGGGAGAGACCAACTTGTCACTCTGCACCATGAACTGTGCAAGTTACACAGGCTCTTGTGCCCGGTCCTTGATGTTTACTTAAGCTGTTATTTTCATACCGACTCACCAGTGATTATTACAAGCCACTTGCTACTTGAAAGAGGCCTGAGAACGCAGAAAAACAGAATTCTCAGGAAGAAGCATTTCTTTTTTTCTGTCATTTGCTGATTTTGTGTGTGTGTGTGTGTGTGTGTGTGTGTGTGAGAGAGAGAGAGAGAGAGAATAGGGAAAAGGAGAGGGAGAAAAAACAAACCAAAAAGAGAAATTGGACTATGATTTAAGGTAATTCACAGACAAAAGCAAATCCCTTTTAGAAAAAATAAAAAGGCAGTGAAGCAACAGAAAAAATTATCAAGTACTTTCCATCTATCACCTTTCATAGGTATATTCGCCTTAAAAATAAAGAAGGAAATAGCAGATGACAGAGAAGCTGAAGTTCATTAAGCCTGCCATAGATTCTTTCCTGGTATTTTCATGTACTTGCATGCAGTTTAAATATTTACTTAGGAAATGGGTCATTTAAAGAATCAGCTAATGGGCAGCTTCCCCTCCAGTTTACCCAGCAGCTGGACAATCCCGTCCCACTGTGTAGCTGTTTCCGAGCCACTGTTCTCTCCACAGTGGGAAGCCCTTGTTGTTAATATGTGCATATTCACCACAAAATACCTTTCTTCTTAAAAAGAAGATTCTCCATAAGAGTCATTTCACCAGTGAACTCCTCTATTGAATTGAAAAATGACTTGGCTTGAGCAAAACCTATTTATACAAAACCTTTACATCTATCATGTACTATGAGGCACCTTTATAAATATGTATTTTTTATTATGCCATTTGCTTCTTTTCTATTTTCAAAATACTAAACATAAGACTCTAAATATCCCTTTTACATTTTCAGATCTATTTTGTTTTAAAACATTCAGGTTCCTTTTAACAAATTGGAGCTTGGAAAAATTATTCTTTTTAATCTTTACCAGATGTTGTTTATACACAAACAATTTTTTCAGTACTCCATAATGCAATTATTGTTTAATTAGTGATAAATCTGTCATTCCTGGGCTTAAGAACTTAACAAGTACCAAATGTACTTTTGCGTCTTAAATTTACATGAGCTCTCCTCCGCATTTGGACACAGAAGTGGGAGGCACAGGGATGCCCAGCACCCCCTCCCCAGCCCCCGGATGCCCAGCACCCCCTCCCCAGCCCCCTACCCCTGCCTGAAGTCCTAGCCTTGCCCAGTGGCCTCTATCCAATTAGCCAGGGTAGCCCAGGCCGGAAGAAAGCTCCTGGCCACCTGCTGCTTCACAGCTCAGCCTGAGTGGCAATGACCCCTAGGTCCATCCCTGCTTTGTTTCGGGGTTTTTTCCTCTCTCCCTTCATCTCTGGCCACAAGGTCTGCATCCCCAATTGCAATTCCAACTGCAATTCCATTGCAAGGAAACTTGCAGTGTGGGCCTCTGTCTTCACAGAGACGATGCTGGAGGATCTGGTGCCCCCCTGAGGCTAATTCTGGAAAGTGCAACTCCAGTCCAAGACGCAGAATCTTCCAGCTTTTAGCAACACACATCAGCCAGCACTACTGGACCACTGCTAAATTACCTGCTTCAGCGCCTGTTCAATTACATGCACCACATTAAAGAGCTCAAAAGGAAGTGCTGAAAAGACTGAAAAAGCAGGAAAAGAAAACCCTGGCATGTTACTGAAAAGCTACTTAAGCACAGCAAACTGACGATATCACCCAGGATGTGGAGTGAACTCTTCAGCACAGCATTTTACCAAGGAGGAGCTGCACACTGGGAGTCTGTGTAAAGGAAGTTTCTTTTTCTTTCTGAAGTGCTATAATTGCTAACTGGAGAATGAGGAAAAAAACACATCCTATCCCATATCAAGGAGGATATATACTGAGGTATCTAGATGCTTTTTATTCTTAAGTTCTTATTAGATAAATCTTCTGAATTGCACCATAAAGATTTTTAGGTAGGAGAGAAAATGAAGCATATTCTGATATCAACTATTAGTGAAACAGAAACAGAACACTCAGCTGGGTGCCCCTCTGCTCCTTTTCTTTTGGGGACAAGTCTGCCTGGAAAGATAAGGCTCCTCTGCTCCTTTTCTTTTAGGGACAAGTCTGCCTGGGAAGATGAGGCTCCTCTGGACCCAGCTGCAGGTGGGCCCTGCCGGCAAAGGAACGAAAGGGAGGGCATGGGAACCGGGCACCTTCCAGCCCTGGCATGCAGCTTGCCAGCCAAGCACAGTGCCACCCTGACACCCTGCAGACACTTTTCATTCCAATGTGGAATCCAAACAATAGCTTTCTGGGCTCCACAAACAGAATTGTAACTAGAAAACATAACATCCTTCCAATTTGGGGCCAGCCTTGGGAAACCGAATAATGCCAAGAAGGCAGCATAATTAACAAGTGGCTTTCACTGCTGTGGGTGACATCAGTTTTTAAGGTCAGGTCTGAAGCTACGGATTATGGTCTTCCTGTGCCCGTGCTGTCAAGGGAAACACAAGACCATCTGCTTTTGAAAAGTTTCAGTCTGTGCAGTAAATGACCATCTAGGGCTAATACCTCGCTTGACGTAGGAGCCACCAACTGTGGCGGACAGCATGACCCGAGGGCAGTCCGGTCTACCGCACGGAAGCCACAGGGGAAGCCTCAAAAGTGAACGGGCTTTGAAAACTTCTCTTTCATTTTAGATGTTAAATACATACATAGTCATTTGGAACTCAGGTAATAAGAGACTAACCCCTCATTATTCATGGTCTTAATGGGAAATACCAGACCTGCGAGTCCAAGAGGCCAAAGAACATGTGGGAAGGTCATTTCACTTCGTCCAACCTGTACCACACTTTTATCTTTTGTTTTTGTTACATTTTGGTAACTACAGAATTTCCAGGACTCATTCTGGATAGTCCCAAGAGAGAGAAACATAATTAACAGTGCTCTATAAAAACACAAGTTATGTAGACCATCACACTTTAATTACTCTCAGAATCCAACAATAATGTAATAGGCATCAGGTTTCCTCTGGAGCACGGCACAGCAGTCTCGTGCTATCCGAGTCTCAGAGATCTCTCTGATACTTCTGTACAGTCCTGTCACTGCACCAAGATGCTGCACTGCGATAAATGAATCAGATGATGCAATTAGGAAGCAGGCTCTTCAGGTTACCCCTGCAGTCACTTAGCCACGTCACAGGCCTATTCCAGCCTGCCTGGCTTTCCGGCACTGCAGGCCTGGGATGCTGAGGAGAACAGCCCACACCCATCAGGGGCTTCCACTCATCGTCTGTATTGTAATTACCTCCTGGAACCATGAGGCGCAGAGAGGTCACATCCTGCCAGTGCCACAATACATTAAACCAAATAACACCCTCTAGAATCCCCCTTTAGCCATAATGGAAGCTCTGAATTTCTGCACACATGATCCTGATAAAAGCTTTTGTAAGTCAGCGGACTTCAAAGCTGTGTGACTCGTGGGAGATTACTGTAAACTACAAACTGCAGACTGAGCATCATACAGTGACGTGCAATGGGACAGCCTGCGTTCGCTGCTTGCATCTGCCGTGCTCACCACCGTGCTACTCAGGCATGAGGGCCACAGGCAAAAAGGACATGGAGAAGGTTCAGAGAAGAATCCAAGGATTAAGGAAAGGCTGGAGAAAAGGCAATGGGACTAGAATTTCTCAACAGGGAGAAGACTTAAAGAAAATGTCATAAGCACCCTGGGAGCAAGCACATAGCCCAGTTACAATATTTTGCCACTGAAAAGGGCCCAGAGAAACTGAAGTCCTAGTATGCGCATGTCAGTTAGAAACAGATTTAGTGGACAATAGAGGTAATTTATGACCTTGAATCACCAGGAATGGGCTGTCAGAGGGCTTCTGAAAGTCGTGATTTATTTTGAATTGTACTGCAATCATTTTAAAATAAGGTGCATTCCTATTTCTTGCCTTAATATACGACTCTTTTGGATGGTAAGGTTAGGTAGTAATTATCCTTAAGAAATCTCTTTGGGCGCTCTCAGTCTTAATATACACGTCTTCCTTTCTCTTCTATCATGGCAAACTTTCAAGTCAGGTGGGATCAGTGTGCGCAGCCTGAGGTATGGGTGAGAGCAGCGTGGCTGTCAGCACCTGCAACCCTATGCACGTTGCCCTGGGAGGCCGAGGGGAAGGGTGAAAGGGGCCATGAAACAAGGGGAGAATCGGGATCAAGGAGGAAGGCAACTGATTCCATTAGGATTCCCTTAGACAGTCGGCAACTAGAAAGAGAAAGAAACAACACAGAAGTCCCAACTGAACTAAACAAGTTGAAGGCCTCTAGGAGGTAGGACAAGTGGGCACAGCCAACCTCAGAGACTTCCTCAGTCTCAGCTCAAGGGCGAGGGTGAACACTCCCTCCTTCCCAGAGTCCCGGCCAACAACTGAAGACCGGACTGTTCCCTGTGGCTCTCGGAACTCACTTTCTCTGCTTGTAGGAGCAGGAAGAGGTGGAAGGCAATCTCTGTGCCACATCGCTGCAGGTTACGAAAGCTAAAGGGAAACAGGGCAGAGTCCGCTGGGGCTCCTGGAAGACAAAGCAACTGCAGGTTTCTGAATCGTTTTTTCAGGGTGCCTTGGTCTTTATTCCCGTCCTACAAAATGTGCTCCAGTCCCACAGAGCTGCCTCCCACGAAGGAAGATGACTGGCGAGTCAGTGGTGGCGAGGGCCGCTGAGAGCCCAGGGTGCCCACGTGGGCCGGAGTCCCCGGCTGCATAGTCCTGAGGGGGAAGGGAGCCGGCATCACTGCGCAGGGGAGGGTGAAGGCAGGTGGCCTCACACCAAAAGAAAACTTACAGAAGTCTTAGCAGGTTCTGCTGCTTTAACCATTTTTCTGAGGTTTTGTGTCTCTCGAGTATTTCACCTTTCCTCTACTGAAGAGCTAAAAGTTTATTTTTTGAATGTTTTTAATTGATTCCTCCTCTTACCCATAAGTTCATTTCTAAAAACTTATTTTCCATGCTGAAATAATAAATACTGTTTTTAAAAAGTCTGTTGTGCAAATGTCAATTCTGGTGAACATGTGATATATGGCACATCAATCAAGTAAACCTCGAATCTCTCCCTGCGTGCTCCAAGGATGCAGAAAAGCCCCTACGTTAGCAATTTCAAAAATAAAATGTAAATACACGATTATTTATAAAGGTTCCAATTGCTCTTTTGTTTACATCCCCCCCTTTCATTCTCTGACTAAAAGAAATGATTCCCAGCATCTCCTTCAAGGATTTTTTCCCTTCATCAAAGCCCAGCACGTACCAGCGATGAATCTTTTATAAAGCATTCGATCCTTCTCAGACAATTTCTCTCACTGGAGATTAGCTTTTCAAAAAGATGCAGCATTGCTTTTTCAAGGCTGGGAAGGTGCCGAAGCCAGAGGCAGACTACAGCCGACATGGGGAGAGAAATCTTCTTCCTTTCAGAAAGAAATAAACAAAACTTTAAATAGAAATGGCTTACTGAAAAAAGAAGATTAAGAAAGTTCAAAATGCAATCACTAATCCAATTTGTGAGACTTCTTCTCATCACGGTCATAGCAGTGGCTAATAATTTATAGAACCAGTGAATATTTACCAAGTACTCATTTGCAAAATAATGTGAATATGCTTCCACTTCAACTCACCTTAAGAAATCAGAAATGCTTAGGAAAAAAATTGCTTTCAAAAAGAATAAGCAAATGTCTAGTGATGGAAGAAAGAGGGAGCGATAAAAAACGGGATGGAAAGGCCTTGTGATGCCTAGTCTCTAACTGAAGAAATAAGCGTGTTCGAACGTGTATCATCATGCCTCACAATAGGGACGTGGACCTGGGTTTCAGTCCCAGCGCCACTGCCTACTAATTGTATGATCTTGGGGAAGTTCACCTCAGTTTATTCATCTGTAAAATGGGCCTATCTCCTTCACAGTGTTCTTGTAAGGATGAAATGCAACAACACACCTGCAGTGATTAGCACAGGGCTTGGCACATAAACATTCAATAACTGTAACTGTAATCGGTTGCTTGAAAGTTGAAAATATTTCTAACAATTTCAAGGCCAGATGCAGTGGCTCACACCTATAATCCCAATACTCGGAGAGACTGAGGTGGAAGGACCACTTGAGCCCAGGAGTTCAAGACCAGCTTGGTCAAACAGTGAGGCCCTGGATCTACAAAAAAAAAATGTTTTTAAAAAAATTAGCCTGGCATGGTGATGTCACACCTGTAATCCCAGCTACTTGGGAGGCTAAGGCAGGAGAATTGCTAGAGCCCAGGAGGCTGAAGCTGTAGTGAGCCGTGTTCACGTCGCTGCACTCCAACCTGGGCAAAAGAGAAAGACTTTATCTCAAAAGAAAAAAATCCAATTTCATATATGGTGGTTATAGCCTAGTTGATGCACTGGACCTTAAGTGTGACACTGGATAGGTTAACAGGACTGGGAATCAAAGGCTCCTTAAAAAAAAAAAATAGATGCAAAGTCTCGCTCTCTCACCCAAGCTAGAGTGCAGTGGTGTAATCAAAGCTCCCTGTAACCACAAACTCCTGGGCTCGAGTGATCCTCCTCCGTCAGTCTCCCCAGTAGCTGGGACTACAGGTGCACGTCACCACATCTTGCTTTTTTCTTGCAAAGATAGGGGTCTTGCTATTTTGCCCAGTTTGGCCTCAAACTCCTGGCCTCAAACAATCTTCCTGCCTCAGCCTCCTAAGATGTTCGGATTACAGGCCTGAGCCCCAGTACTCCACAAACACAACCATTTTGTGTAGCTACATTTGTTTCTCAAGGAAAATATATTAAGGTCCTCTTGTGTCAGTGAATTGGGGCTCCACTTCCCCTCCTTGGAGGAAGCATGAGGGGCACGTGTCTGACTCTGAGCCCCAACGGCTGGCTCTGGGATACACTAGAGCTGCCCCCCAGGGCCACCTGCCCTTTACCTGCACATCCCAGACAGTGGGTGCTCCCCAGTGGGTGCTTTTCAAACTTGATGTCTTTATGCATTAGTCTCCCTCCTGTCTTGCCCAAGGAAAATAAGCAAATAGAAATGAAGCCAGATGCACACAAATCTTGAGGTGGGGAAAGGACAGCACGTGTGTTCCAAGGCCTGGCTTTCCAGCAGTCACTGTCACCCCCTCCCACTCTCTGGCTGCCACAGACGCTACTGCTATTAATACAGAAAACTAAAGTGGGGGCACAAGCCCCCCCTGACCCAACAACCCCTTCAAGAAGGGCCTGTCCCTGCACCATGACTTGGGGGCCACTTCTCTGCAGAGCAGGTGGGAAGCCAGCAACTGGGGAAGCCAGCAACTGGGTCCAGGGACAGAGCAAGGGACGTGGGGAGCAGTTCCTAGAGGTTTCACTTTTTTGCTTGCTTGGTGTAGCTCCTGCAGACCTTGTCCTGGGTTGATCCTGGAGCAAAAGCAGCAGGGAAGATGCTGAAGACCCAGGGAGACTGCGCAGGAGCTGGCAGAAGGCAGGGGAAGGCAGGGAGGGCACATTCACCTCAGAGCCCCCTGATCTCCCGCTCACACCCTGAGCTTCAACTTGTCCAGGACCCACCAGCAGGTCCCGTTCCTCATCTCCCCACTTCCCACACCTGGCAAAGCCCTGCCATGGTGCCACACTCCCTCAGTACCGGACATGCCATGTACTCAGATGAATGCCATGGTGCCACACCCCCTCAGTACTGGACATGCCATGTACCCAGATGAAAAGAAGGGAAGAAATGATTTCTGGAGGATTTACTAAGAGATCAGTTTGAAGTGTGTGGATTTGGAGTGTCTGAGGCACAATCGAGCAGATATTCAACAGGTCCTTGAATATCCAAGGTGGAAGCTCCGGGAGAGGTCTGGGCTGAAGGTACCTTGGGTGACAGAACCCCAAGGGAGGAAGCTCTGAGTGGAGAGGCAGGCAGGGGAGGAGGAGCAGCTGCAGATGGCAAGAGGCACAGAAGCAGAGGACGCTGTCCCCAGAGCACGACACAACACAGGCCTCGGGCAGGAAGTGTGCCTCTGAGCAGTGCCGCAGAGGGCGAAGGAACCCTGGGTGTGCCGGGCAGGCCCTGGATGGGAGCGCGTGGTGGAGGGAGGAGAGGAGTGGAGGTGAAGTCAGGACTGGAGATAGGACTTCAGAGGACTGGCGGTGACAGGAGTGATGCCAGGCGGCGGCCCAGAGGTGGGGCCTAGCGTGCTCCTGAAAGGCTGCCGACGGGCAAGGCGCAGAGGAGTGGGAGAGGCTGAGCAGCAGGGGCTGGAATGATGCTGTTTCGTTTGCACTTGAATCCCCAGAACAGCCCTATAAAACAGGTACAAAATTATCCCTTCCTCGCACAGAAGAGGCAGCCGAGGTCAGAGAGGACCAGGACTCGCAGCTGGTAAGACCTGAAGCCGGGGGGGCTGAGGTGGAGTGAGTACAGGCCCACACTGGCTCTGGAGGGGTGCAGGAAGCCGGGCCTGGGCTCCGCGGAACAGCCGGCAGATTGACTGGGTGGGCCACACGCCGTGCCTGTGCTTATGCCCCTTGTGAAGAGGAAAGGCTCTTCCATCCAGGTGGTCAGCCAATTCTAGCCGCATCAGTGGAGCCCTGGGGAGGGGTTCCTGTCCAGCAATCAGCGGGGAGCAGAACACCCCTGGGTGTGGAGAGGGTGCTCGTAGCTTCCATCATGGAGCCAGGAAGCTCTGAAGAGGAGAGTTCGCCTCTCAGTGGCTCCTCCCTTCTCAAGCAGCAGTGCTGGCTTTGACCAGCTTTCCTCATGCCTTATCTTTTTCCAGGATCCATGTGATAGGAATCTGTGTGTCACTGGAAAGGCGTTTCACTGCAGCGAGGTCTTCTGCCAGCACCACATCCTGGCCGAGAGCCATGGCACGGTGCGTGTCCTTCACCCGCCAGGTGGTGGCGGGGAGGCTGCTGCAGCACTCGGGCCAGGCCACCAGGAGCAGCAGCAAATTCACAGAACCGACCCGTCAGCGGCAGGAACAAATGGACACTGCATATCACGCAGGCACACGAGTCACACTCCAGTCAGTAAAGCGCGTGGTGCGCCCGTTCTAGTTTGAAAACAATGTGTGTTAATGGCTGTCTTTTCATTAGAGCCTGGATTCAGAGCACACTCTACTAATTGCTGTGAGTGATTACGTTTATGGACCCGTGTTTAATATTTGGATAGATTTTGCTCTAAAATATCAGTGACTTAACTCTTTGTAATCACTCCTGAATGAAGGAATCGCTGAAGCGGTATGATCTTGACATGCTTGCCTAACAGAATTTGGCCAAGCCAACATATTTGTATTCTACATGGTGCTCTGAACCAGGCCGGCTTTAAATAAAAAGGCAAATCACAGAAAAAGCACTGCAAACGGCCTTTAAAAACGTGCAGCTCTCTCATCTAACAGTAAAGGAGGGAAATGCACCAATGCAGTCTCAGTTTCACCTTCCCCGTGCAGGCACTGAGAAGAGTGACAACACGCAGTGCTGGGGTCGGCACAGGGTGCACCTCCTCACAGGCAGGCGGGCAGTGGCTTCACACGGCCAGTCAGGTGGTGCCACTGAAGCAAATGCAAGACACACCCCCGTCTTCATCATCGCACTGCTGTGAATTTGCCTGGCAGAGACAGAAACATCAGTCTGAGGATATTTACTGCAATCCTTAAATATGATCGGGACAAAACTAGAAACACTGCAGTGTGCACCCATGGGGACGGCGGAACAGAGTGTGGGTCTGTGCCATGGAGCATGCCCCTATTTCAAATGAGCTGGATCCGTGTCCTGGGAGGGGTATTTAAGACGTGCTGGTTAACATGCAGGCTCTGGAGTGATGTGGCTGTGGTGTGATGCTCCTTTTGTTTCGACAGTGAGCAGAAAATGGCTTTATATGGACTTTATGTTTAACAAGCACAAGGTATGGCTACCAAAATTACTGGAGGATGAGGAGGAGGTAATGAACATCTTCTGTATATACCCTGTGCTGTATTGTTTGACCTGATAGAATGAATATATATATCTACACACACACACACATATTCTGTGGAAAATTTAAAGAGCCAATAAAGTAAAAAAGAAAAAAATGCTTTTAGGGAGACTAAAAAATTCCATTCTGTTCAATGTGTTAGTGACAGAAATGCTAAGGTTGTCCTTTTTCTTCTCTATACTGGTTCCATCTATCCTGCCTGGAATTGACCAAAATCATGAATTCAAGAAAACAGAGTAAGATAAAAACTTGACTCCCCCAAATCCCTACCTAATAATTAGGAGAGTTTTCTGTATCATAGTTATGTTTTAGGGAATGGATAGGACATTTAGAATTTATGTGTAATACATTACTATTTTCTCCTTTAAAATAATGAACAGTAGGCTTCCAGTCAGGGCTCCACTTAGAAATCTGATTTACAGTGACAGTGTCTGACATGAGGCAGGGAAGCCTAAACAGGACGTTCTCCCCTGTCCA